GGCGCAGGTCTGTGCTCTAGCAAAGTCTCCAAAAAGGCTTCAAATGGACTTTACTTCATGATTACTAGTGACCAGCGGCCACACCACAGTGCGGCAAAACCATGGTCACGATGCAGGTCAGGAGTATCGCAATGCTCCAACGCCGGTTGCGTCCATGTCAAAATGGAGTAGCGTAGCTATGCTGCATGCCGTGGAAAAGACCCTTCTTGTAGCACAACCCGTGCAACTGGTTGCACTTACAAGTCCAGAGGCATGTTACCAGGCGGTGATCAAACAGTGGCGGCCATAGCAAATGACGAAAGCCTGCAGGTAAGGGTGCGAAAGGGCACACCCCCCCGAAGGGAGGTCAATTCAGCACCCTTCGGCACACCAAGGTGCCAAAAACAGAAAAAGAGGGGTGTCTCCTAAATCCGTGAAGTGCTGCGTCATTGCAAAAAGTGATCTGCTGCGTGCAAGGCCCGTGTGAAACAGGTGAAACTTTGGACTATCCTAGCATGGTGTCTGTACCTCTTTGTACAAATTTGGAAATGTCGGACATCAACAAAGGGAACTAAGGTTCCCCCTGGGCATCCTCCATTGCCACTCTCTACCACCCGCCTGTTAGGAACGAGGAGCTAAGGCTCTCATTCCTATTGGCTCACAGCGTTGCGAATGGCGAAAAGAGGTCGGTGATCCTACTTTGTGCTTGCGCATCTCACTTGCCGTAACTTGCTGGCGGTGTGCTTATCCACCATTCCAGCTGCGAACACATTGCTGGTCTTTGCAGGTCTGGAGAGTCTTCTTCCCTTTGATCACTGGCATCTGTCGACACCCCTCGGCGCTGCCTGGACTAGACGGGTCACCCACCTTTGTCAAGTACACATGTCCTTCGCTATGTGTTGTTTTTTCCCTTGCTTGCACCTTGCTCAAAAGTGCGCGCTGCCCGCAAGAGCGCATAGCGCCATGGTACTCCGGGATGGAACCTCCTATGGAAGGGTACTCTGAAGAAAGGCTTGTTTTGCGATGATCCTCAGCCCCCCTATGGAATTTGGCCTGGTATGGCTTCTGGCCTACCCTGGACTCGCGCTAAGGCGTGCGCCCAGACTCTTAATGAGTAACTGTGAGACCGCGATAGCTGTGGCCATAAAGGCTTGTTTTCATCCAAGACCAGGGGTATATCCCATGTCCGGGATCATATGCAGCCAGGGTGGCCATCTCATAGCAGGACAAATGGCGAAAGCATTTTCTTCAGCATAGACTCCTCGCCATTTGTGCCTTCCTGGCATTTTGGCAAGCCTCTTAAAAACAGTGCAATCCAAGAAAGCCCTACTTCCAATATACTTGAGGGAGGGC